CTGTACTCTGCGTATCAAGAACTATTGTTTTATTATAAGCACTGTGAAAACTGATAGAGGAGATAAATGATATGAGAGTCAAATGGACAAAACAAAACAGAAACTGGACAGACACATTCGTTATTCAGAAGTATTATCAGAATAAAGGAGGCAGTCATTTTTGAGGTAGGTGAATTTATCAATGGCTCATGGAAACCATGTTCGTTTTGAAAGACAGCAGGTGTTAAAACAATGAAAAGTGACCTCCTTTGCACCTGGGTTACAAAAGCTCTGCTTTTGCGAAAAGAAAAAGAAAAAGAAAACAGGATAATAACAATAAAAAAACATCCTGCCTCTGGCTAGTTCCTTTTTATTTTTTCTCACACTGGGCAGTTTTATTTATAGATAATAAGGCCGCTTATAAGAAATACACTCACACACACACACACACACACACACACACTCACTCATTTCCCAGTGGAAGTGATGTTTATTTGACGCATAATAGCTTTGGTGTTTGTATAATCTGTTACCTTTGGAATTCCATCAAGAATGTGATGTACAAATTACTCATATCCCTTTGAAATCAGTTTACTAGCATATTCTCAACAAAATCTATCAAGGAAGACGCATTTCCAGTCCAAAACAGCCTTTGGTATGTTATGGTAACAGGCTGGAGAGAGGCCAGAAGCACAGTTACTCTCCGCTGTTGGCCATGAAGAATCAGCTGTTGGAGTTCATAGTTGTCATTGTGGATAAGCCAATATCTGCACTGTGAGCACACAGCTGAGCCACCTGCATGACAGCTGGGCTATCCCCCAAGATTTCTCTGAACCTCTAAGCTAGGAATGCTGCTAATTGAGATGTGGATTTTGAGCAGACCCCTAGGTGACCCCAGGAGCTTAAGGGACTTAGCTGCCACACAATAGCACGTGGGCTCGAATTTGTGCCCAAGGCTGTGCCTACGTTATTCCTCTAATCATTATAGGTAACAGGCACTATTATAGCCCATCCTGGACATTGCAGGGTTGGTCAGGAAGAGTCAAGACTGAAGGTTAGGTCTTGGCCACCAAAGGTGTTTCCTCAAACAATTATGAGTTAAGGAAACGCACGCTTTGTCTGTTTCCAGTTAGGTATGAAAATAAAACAAGCTTAGCATTTCATCAGTTCCTTCTGTACAGACCTGAGACATAAAAGGTGGCATGTTACAGCAGAGAGTCTAATATCTGACATTTTAAAATACACCCCTTATGTAGCATGACATTTTATACTCGGAAGCCTAGAAAACGCTTCTCACATCTAAGTGTAGAGAAGGCCTTCACATTCGACGTGAACTGTACACCTTTTTACTTTGATCCGTCCTGCCTCACTGCCCACAGCGCTGCAGACCTACCTGAGGAAACAGGCGAACTGCATCAAAGTCCTTTGCAGTGGGCCTTGAAGTCCCATGAAACCACGGTGGGGTCACAAAAGTCACTTGTCAAAGTCCAGCACTCACGCTCACGGACGACCTAGCCGCAGCCGCGTTGCAGGCTGAATAAACTGATCTTCAGAGGGTCCTCCCCCCACCAACCTCCGCCTATAACCATGCATTTGAGGAGGAAATTCAAGAAAAACTGCCAACCATGCTCAAGCACTGAGTTCTCAGAACATTTCATGAGCTAAATCTCCCAAATACTAAATACACAGGGTCATACCATTCGGCGTTGTTGCCCATGGCAACTTAAAAACCACCCAAGGAGCCTCACCACACTTTGAGTGACATGGGGGTGTTCTCCTTGTGTAGAGATGGGCTTGGGTGCAGAAATATCACCCAAGTCGCGTCTGTTAAATCACACTGTTAGGAAATAGAAGCATTGGGACTGGCAGTCTGACAGTTCCAATTGTCCATCCACTAGTCCATGCATATTAATAAAGCACCCAGTTTTGTTTCAAATGAACAACGGACTTATATTCTGCCTGATCACTCTGTAACCTGGTTTTGGGTGTCAGTGTAGTAACTGTAGTATTTAAGGAGAATAAGGAGCATCCTGTGTTCTGCAGACTAATAAGCATGGTCCTCACACTGGGGAGGTTTCAGGAAATCCGTCACTGAGCCAAGGACAGAAGAGACGCAACATGGCGCTGGATAGCTCCCTGCAGAGAGGAGCACACTGCGCTGGTGCACAGGGAGGTGGGTGTGCTGTCTTCCGGGCGTCTGTCTGGGACGGCACAGGACACTCGCGCAGACTTAGCGAAACTGCACAGTGCTGCTGACACCACCTGATCCATTAACAGCCAAACTCCATCCTATATATATGTGTCAAATCTGCCACTTAAACCATTTCAAGTGTACGATTCAGTGGCATTACCTGCACTCACAGTATTGTGCACCATCAACAGTATCTCCAACACTTTTCATCAGCCCAGATAGAAATGTGAGCCTGTTAAGCAATAACACTCCATCCCCTCCTTCCCCCAGCCCCTGGTAACCTCTAATCTACTTCCTGTCTCTATACATTGGCCTATTCTGGATATTTCATATTGAGTGAAATCATACAATATTTGCTCTTTTTGTGGAGGGTCTGTTTTACTGAGCATAACATTTTCAAGGTTTTTCCATGTGGTAGCGTGAGTCGGAACGTCATTCCTTTTTTGAGGCTGAACGTTATTCCATGGTATTGATAAACCACTTTTCGTTTATCCCCTTATCTGTACTTTTTGTCTTTGATGGTCTCCCTGCCTCACGCTCAGGTCGAGCCTCCTGCTCTGGGGAAGCCACGTGGTTCGGCCCAAACCTCTCTGCCTCCACTGAGCACATGAAGCACCAGGCCTCAGTCTGTGAGGCCAAGCCTATTCCCAGGTCACACACAAACACCGACTGTCAGATGTCCAGGTGCCCGGGTCGCACTTCCGTTTTATGCCTTGGCCCATGTTTCCTCAGGCGGAAGCCTCCCTCGTCCTCCACACAGCCACCTGCTGCATCAACCTTCCAGTTTCCCAAGGAAGCAGCGACCCTGTCTTTTAGGTTCCCAGAGGATGTGGCACTGTGTCATTCAATCACGTCAGACACGCATGCCCTCTACTCCAGCCCGTGAAGGCAGACGCCATAGCCGAGTCATCGTTTTCTATTGCACAGTGTCGAGTACTGGGCTTTGTAGAGAACAGGCATCAATAAACACTTCCCCAGCTGATTTCATACATACCAAGAGGACTGCGCAAGGTGAATTTTCCCAGCGATCTGGCAGTTGGGTTCCGAGGCTGTATAAAAAGACATTTACGTCTTCAATGGAATTAAACATCAGTTATCAGGACAAAACAGAGTAACTGGAAAAGATGCTGATTAATTTAGAGGAAATGACTGGAAAGATGAGTCGTCAGATGAGTCCACGTGGGCCTCAGATGTCTGGCAAAGCACAGAGCGCGGCTACTGAACTAAATGAACTTAGTATTGTCATGCCAGGAGAGAAATGACGTGACACCGCTGAGGCATGACAGGACGGGACCCTGGAGTGGGTGTGGCAGGACAGAGACTCCCTGGAGGCCCAGGTCTGCTCTGCGTCCTTTGGGGAGCTCACCGCTCCGGGCAACGTTGCTGCCTCCGGTCAGCCCCCTGCCAGTGTGCTTGTCCAGCTGTGGTTGGCTTGTGTATGTAGCTTGGTCTCACCGCACAGCGTATTCCTGTCTTGTTCTGTTTCACTGGGAAGAATGGAGGGCGTTGTGAGTGAAGGAGGAGGGGCCCGGGGCTGGGTCCTTGAGCGCAAAGGTGGCCCTGGGAAGTGGGAAGCAGAGGCCCACGGGGATCGGTTAGTGGATTGCGCTCCGCCTTGTGGTATGAAAAGGGGCTGCTCACGGTGGCCGCTTGACGTGTCTCAGGCCGGGGTCTGCACGGATGAGCTGTTCCAACTCCGGTACCGCCTCCTGGGAGGCTCGGGTGCGAGAAAGGAACCGAGTCCCAGGTTGGCTGAATCACGTGCTGCACTGAAAAGCACGACAGCAGCGTTTGTGGAGGGGCTCTGAGAGACTGGTGACCCCTAAAAAGAAAGGAGGTCGGGTTCTGGTCGAGTGAACTTCACGTGACCCAGAACAGATCAGTAAAGCAACTTGTGAGTTCTCAGAAAAGGAAGGGAAGATAACAAGTGTTAAAGCCAAGGCACAGCCAACCAGCCTAATTCGAAACGTCCAGGGTCACCAGCCCGGTAGATAAGGACGATGCCGTCGACAGAGCGGAGCTGCGTCTCAGCGATACACCCCACATCTTTATCTCCGGGAGCTGCGGACAAGCAGGAGGGAGGTGAGCCGGCTGATAGGGTGGCTGGGCAGGCTTATGACCTGTCGCACTGATGTCACAGCGCGAGCGCTGGCTTTCTCACAGAGAATATTTTCCTCAGTGGCATGGATCAGACCTGAAGGATGACATGGAACTGGGTGGGATGGTGAACACACTGCATGGCAGGACAAACGGCAGGACTATGTGGACGTTTGGTCAACTGTAACACCACATGAATCAACCGTGCGAGGTGGACACCCAGAAATAGACGTAACGCGTGGGGACCCAGGTGGGGTCCCTGTTACTACTTGATGGGGGGCTCCCAGCGCCCATCCTGAAGTGTTTGTGTCCCTGATCTATAGCTGAAGGACACCAGCTGAGAACAGCGTTACAGAGAGAACGGCTGCCAGAGAACTGGAGACCTTGTGTCGGAGAACTCGAGGGCGCTCGCCCTGCAACCAAGATGACTTGGGGAGGGGCACACGGGACGACGAGCCTGCGCATCGGCCCTGGCCCGACCCGGAGAACGCTCGCCGGGCGGGTCTTCCAGGAGGTCGGCTCCTCACCTCTGGTCCTGCGAGGCCGAGGCTCCCACCTGCGCGCCCATCCGCCGGCACCAGCAGGCGCAGCCCCCGAGCGTCAGGCGCGGTTGCCACGGCAACAGCAGGCTGCCGCGCAGGCGCGTAGCGCGCAGGGGGCGGGGAGCAAGCCGGGCCCGAGAGGAACGGCACTGCGCAGGCGTAGTGTCTCGGTTGCTAGGTTCCGCCTCGCGTCCAGAGGCGTGGCCACCGTCCAGTTCCAGAGCCTCGGGGTCGAGGCGGGGTCGATCCAATCCCCCTCTGCGTGCTTGCGCATCCCTGGTTGTCACCTCTCCGTACCCGAAGTAAGAGGCTATCCCAGGTCCCTGCCCCTCCCTCTGGAAGGACCACCCTCTGAGCGCCTCTGGTGGTGTCCTGACCCCGGCATCCAGGCCGCCGATCGGAGGGTGACAGAAGAGCTGCCCGGCGGGCGAGGGGAAGAGGGAAAGTAGCCAGCCATGTCGAGCGCGTAAGTAATGAATGGGCTGCTGGGCCATAGCCGCGGCGTGGCGTGGGCTTCTCCAAACCGAAAGATGGCTTGCTCTGCTTCTTTGCTCGCTCCCTCTCTGTTTTTCTCCCACCTCCTCCCCTCCTTTTTACATTTTAGCAAATAAAACTACTCCTCAGGCTGCAGCATCAGCTTCTTGTGGACAAAGAATGC